GCCGCCTTAGGTGTACGTGGCTGGCGCCTTAGCTGGTTGAGCTATAGGCACTGAGCCGACTGGTTCTTTTTCTCCCTCAGATTTCATTTATTTGTGAACTGAACTTCTCCTTCACTGCTTGTTTAAAGTACTATCCATCTAACACAGTGGTCCCTAACCTTTTTGGCACCAGAGACCAGTTTCATGGAAGACAGTTTTCCACAGACAGGGTGGGGGAATGGTTTCAGGATGATTCAAACACATTACATTTATTGTGCCCTTTATTTCATTGTTATTACATTGTAATATATAATGAAATAATGATACAACTCATCATCATGCGGAATCGGTAGGAGCCCTGAGCTTGTTTTCCTACAACTGGACAATCCCAGCACCAGCATCATGGTCTCAGCTCCACCTCAGATCATCAGATGTTAGATTCTCACAAGGAGCACCCAGCGCAGATCCCTTGCCTGTGCGGTTTACAGTATGGTTCTGGCTCCTCCCAGAATCTCCTGCCACTGCTGATCTGACAGGAGGCGGAGCTCCGGCAGTGATGCATGTGATGGGGAGAGGCTGTACATACAGGTGAAGCTTTGCTCACCCACTGCTGTGTGGCCAGGTTCTTAACAGGCTACCCACTGGTCCCCAGCCTGAGGCCAGGCACTGCAGCTCTGATATCATCACACTGGCCCATTTATTTCCTTCTTAAAAATGATCACTGCCTGTGATCATTTATCAGTCTCCTTTTTCGGAATGTTTGTTAAGTGTCATAAAAGCAAGTGACTGTATCTGTCCTGTTCACCACTGTCCTCAGCACCTAACCAAGGACTGGTTTGTTATACCAGTTGGATAAATTTTTAAAAGGCTGATACTCTGCAGGTGGGCAGGCAATAGAGAGAAAAGTCACTCATCTGTAGGAGGCAGCTCAAGAAGTTCTAATTAAGAATTTCCTATTTGCCAGGCACAGTGGCTCATGCCTATAGTCCCAGTACTGTGGGAGGCTGAGGCAAGAGAATTGCTTGAGCTCAGGAGTTCGAGACTTGTCTGAGCAAGAGACACCTAACTCATTAGAAAAGTGAAAAACCCAGCACCTGTAATCCCAGTGGCTCCGG